CAGTGGCATAAACAGCGCAACTATGATCCAGCACAGATAGCTCAGGCATCATCTTATAGGCCCCATAAATTAGCCTTGACCCAACTGTACTTAGGACAGCAGCAGTCTATACTTGAAGGTCACTAGCGGATCAATCCCTACCAAGTCCCCCTTGTCTATTACAGGGGTGATCTTCATCACATTATATACGGCTCTGTTTGCAACAATCTTTGGATAAAGGTTCTCTTTGGTCTCAATAAGGAACAGTTGTTTTTCTCTTGGGCACTGTTCTGTTTTCGCCACATGGACTTGTATGACTAACTTTCTTAATGGGTGCTAGAAAGGTCAGCACCAAATGCCCACCCATTGCAAGTCTACAGCTCTTTATGGTGCGGGCTCTTAGCCTCAATGCCAGCTCCATTTTGTACATCTCCTGCCCTGTTTATCTTTTTCCTTTTCTCTTTCAATTTATGCTATCTTCTTACATACAACTGCCTTATCTATGGAATGAACCTAAGTGTAAATTTAAATCAAATAAATACGTCTCTATTTCAGAGGACAATCTTACCATATGGTAATATGTATTCATTCTGTCTTCCACAAATATGTATTCTGCAGGACCAGAAACCGTACTAGACACAGGGCATATAAAAATCAGACAGATTAGCCCCCTGCTCTGAAATCTAGTCAGGAAGAGATGTAAGAATTGAGGTACAAGTCACTTTAAATACAACAAAATAAGACAAAAACCTGAAATGGAGAACCACAGATAGGGATGAAGGGCAGTGCCAGTGGTGGAGTTTGGGAGACACTTACTGAGGGTGTGACATAATAATTAAATTCAGAAGGATTAGAAACCAGAATTAGGATTTAAGTGAGGGGAAGACCTTTTATCCAGGCAGAGGGAATAGAACAGATAATAGCTTGAGACAGGAAACAATCTTAAAAAATAAAAGACTGAGCTCAACCAAGGGAGTGTAGGGTAGGATGACGGTGGAGAGGAAGACAGGGCCCAGATCACACCGGCCCTCACAGCGCAGGGTAAGGAGTATGGATTTTGTTTCCAGAGCGATGAGATGCCACGGAAGGATTTTAAGCCTGGGTGTTTTAAGGATCAGGATCGTACCTTCTGCTACATGGGAAGAGACTGCAAGAAGTTAAGACAGGAAGCAAAGACCAGTTGCAATATTCCAGGTCAACGATGACAGTGACCTGGGCCAGGATGATGGCATGGAGAGAGACAGCCCCAAAAGCCCCAAAATGGATCATTTGCGGAAAGACTGGATGCAAGGGAAATGTGAAATGGAATAATCTAAAACTGCTTCTGAATTTGTATCTGGAGCAACTATCCAGGCATTCAGACCACAAGGTAGAGGTGCAGACTGTGTTGTGAGTGGGGGTTATGGGGGTAGAAATCACTGTATCTACTTGGACCTGTCATCCTTGAAATGTTTTAAAGACATCCAAGTAAAGATCAAGTAGGCAATTGGATATGTGAATTGCTGAGGCTCAAAAGATACATTTCTCAAGATCCTTTCTCAGGAAAGAAACAGTCTACACACTCTACCAAAATAAAGGAATAAATCAGGAAGGGGACAAAACATGAGATCCAGGGAACCCAAAACTTAACACTAGAGAAAGATAAATTCCCTAGGATACTCGGGAGGCAGGAGGATCACTTGAGTCCTGGACTTGAGTCTTTTTAAAAGACCATCTCTTAAAAAAAAAAAAAATTCCCAGGATGATAGAGTGAATGTGAAAGACCAACTGGATTAGCACAGGCCTCAATGCTCTGGGCCAAATTCCTTTAAGGTTGAAATGACAGAACATCTAATGGGTTTGAAAACATTGAGAGGAACTTTATACAAATAGGAGTGAGTGGGCTTGGCTTCTGATTAAATAAATAATTAAATTCTTAACTACAGGAAAGGCCAGATACAGTAAAAGAAAGGAAAAGCATTTCCATAGTCATTACATCAACACTGAAAACTGATCTAACCCAAACTGCACCACAATGATACTGGGGGATGCAAAGATGGGATGTAAGCATATGTGATGGTTCTAAATGTGGGTGATGGCTGTAAGCATGGGTGATGGCTGTAAGTGTGCGTGATGGCTGTCAGAGTGGGTGATGGTTTTAAGTGTGCACGATGGCTGTCAGAGTGGGTTATACGCGTGTGTGACAGCTATAAGCATGGGCAATGGCTGTAAGCATATGTGATGGCTGTGTGATAGCTGTAAGCATGTGCAATGGCTGTAAGCATGCATGATGGCCGTGTGTGATGACTGTAAGCGTGCGTGATGGCTGTAAGCCTGTGTGATCATTGTAAGGGTGTGCAATGGCTGTGACCGTGTGTGATGGGATGGCTGTGAGTGTGGGCAATGGTTGCAAGCATGGGCAATGGCTGTAAGTGTACACGATGGTTGTAAGCATGTGTGTGGTTGTAAGCGTGTGTGATGGTTGTAAGTATATGACGGCTGTAAGCGTGCATGATGGCTGTAATGTGCAATGGCTGTAAGCATGGGTGATGGCTGTGTGTGTGATGGCTGTAATCGTGCAATGGCTGTAAGTGTGCATGATGGCTGTAAGTGTGTGTGATGGCTGTAATCGTGCAATGCCTGTAAGTGTGCATGATGGCTGTAAGTGTGTGATGGTTGTAAGCGTGTGTGATGGCTGTAAGCATACACGATGGCTCTAAGCGTGTGCGATGGTTGATAGCTGAATTTTCTCCTCCCATAGGAGGAGCAGGGAAGACCCCAAAACTGAAAAAAGTTAAAGTGTAAGTTTCTTAGAGTGATGGAGGCGAAAACCAAAAGAACAAGCTAAAAGGTTAGAAAGCAGTTGTTGTGGTGAGGACAGGGAGGACCAGGAGGGTGTTGAGGGCATAATATCCTCCCAGATGTGGGATTGTTTGATTCTAACTGCTGTAGTTTAAATACTATTTAAAGCTAAACATTTAAGAGATAAAAAATGCCAAGCAAATCACTGATTCAACTCTCAACAGGTAAAATGTTGAAAATGCACATGAAGACTAGATATCAGAGTATTAAGAACAGAGAGACTATGAATATAGATACCTTTCCCTTCAGAATATTTCCTTTTTTGTATTTAAAAAATTATATTTATATATTATTTTCAGATGGAGTCTCACGCTGTTGCCCAGGCTGGTGTGCAGGGGTGTGATTTTGACTCAATGCAACCTCTGCCTCCCAAGTTCAAGCGATTCTCCTGCCTCAGCCTCCTAACAGGAATAACACGTGCCCACCACCACGCTCAGCACATTTTTGTATTTTTAATAGAGACAGGGTTTCACCATGTTGGCCAGGCTAGTCTTGAACTCCTGACCTCAAGTGATCCACCCACCTCAATCTCCCAAAGTGCTAGGATTACAGATGTGAGCCACCGCACCCAGCCCATACTTTTATATTAGAGAAGTGAATGTATTGGGTGTTGATGAATCCAATTTTGCTACCAAAAAAATTGTAAAAGTAAAGTCCTGTTCATCTGGGTTTAAAAGGGCTCCAAACATAAAATACAAATATACACATAAAAATAAATAAAATCTTAGCTTCCCTTTAGAAGACAAATTTTCATCTGTTAAGAATACACCACATTCATACTATAGTATTATCTTTGGGGCCAAACACGTGAATGGCCTTTGAGGTGAAGTAATTTTATATTTAAGTGCTTTTGAATCCAAAGCAGTTAACAGTCCTCAAGTGGCTGCCCCATACTGTGATCTGCTCTACCACAAACAGTGCCACAACACACCATTCTTTTTCTTTTGGTGATTACACTACACACACACACACACACACACACACACACACACACACACACACACGTGTATTTTAAGTTCTGGGGTACATGTGCAGAATGTACAGGTTACATAGGTATACACGTGCCATGGTGGTTTGCTGCATCCATCACCCCATCATCTATACTAGATATTTCTCCTAATGCTATCCCTCCCCTAACCCCCACCCCATGCACCATTCTAACAGACAGGACAGTGTTTCTATTCTAGCATCAGCACACCTGTTAAAACATAAATATCACTCATTAGTGATAATAGAAGTACCATTCATTCATGACTTAAAAGAGAAATTACTCCACAAATCCATTTTATCCAAGGAAAAAAACGTTTAATATTTATATTGAGTGTTTTTCTGTGTGATAGTGACAATCTTGGTAACGTATGAACACTCCACATTTTAGAGATGAATGCTGACATATGTAGTGGTAAGAACATGTCTGGGATTTGCTTTAGAATACTTTAGCAGAGAGTAAAAGGGAGAGATGAAACAAGCATGGCAGAGTTTTGGTACGAGCATATGAATCTCCAATGGCATATTTCAAAAATGTTCATAATTATAAGCTACATTCTTAGAGAAAATACATTCAGCTTTTCACCCTCAGAATAAACTTTAATCTTTTAATGATTATGATGTTGTGAACCCCAAAAATCTGAGACAGGTCTCAGTCAATGTGGAAAGTGTATTTTGCTAAGGTTGAGGATAAGTGCCCATGACACAGCCTCAGGAGGTTCTGACAACATGTGCCCTAGGTGGTCAGGACAGTTTGGTTTTATACATTTTAGGAAGACGTGAGATATCAATCAACATATATAAGATGAACATTGGTTCAGTCTAGAAAGGCGGGACAACTTGAAGCAGGGAGAGGGCTTCCAGGACATAGGCAGATAAGAGACACGGCTGCGTTGTTTTGAGTTTATGGTTAGCCTTTCCAAAGGAGGCAATCGAGGCCAGGCACAGTAGCTCACGCCTGTAACCCCAGCACTTTGGGAAGCCAAGGCAGGTGGATCACCTGAGGTCAGGACAAGACCAGCCTGGACAACATGGTGAAATCCCATCTCTACTAAAAACACAAAACATTAGCTGGGCGTGGTGGCAGATGCCTGTAATCCCAACTACTCAGGAGGCTGAGGCAGGAGAATCACTGGAGCACGGGAGACAGAGATTGCAGTGAGCCAAGATCACACCACTGCACTACAGCCTGGGCAACAGAGTGAGTCCCTGTCTAAAAACAGAAGAAAAAAGAAAAACCACAAAAGAGCCAATCAGATATGCACTACCTCAGTGAGCAGCAGGGTGACTCTGGATAGAATGGGAAGCAGGCTGGTACTAAGCAGTTTCCAGTTGACTTTTCCCTTCGGTGATTTGGGGGCCTCCAGATATTTTCCTGCATATAAAGAACACTGAAAAACCAAAAGCTGCAGTGGAGATTCCTTTTCATCCAACACATTGCAACCCCAGCCTTAACTACGTTCCTTCCAAAGGTGTGCAGGTTAAAATACAGATTAGAAAGATTAACTTCCAAGAAGAAGAAAGTTAGGAGTCAAGCTTCCAACTAGCAGCCTGTTGATCTCATACAAAACTCAAGTGAGATCCTGTGCCCATTTTAAAATTGGGTCATCTTATTATTGAATCGTAAAAATTCTTCATACATTCTAGGTACAAACCCTTTAACAGATAGAAGATTTAGTTATTTCTCCCATTTTATGGGTTTTTTCACTTCCTGATTGTGTCCTTTGAAGCACAAAATATTTTAAGTTCAATGAAGTTCAATTTATCTTTTTCCTTTGTTTGCGTATGTTTTTGTTGTCCTAGCTAAGAAACCATTGCTAAATCTAAGGTCATGAAGATTTATCCCTGTGTTTTTTTCCTGAGTTTTACATAAAAGAATGATGTCAAACCCTTCTCTCCCAGCATAGAAAAATTAACTAATATGGATCAAAGACCTAAATGTAAGAGGTAAAATGATTATATAAAATCTTTTTGTTAAACTGAGGCTGCCTAAATATAGAAAGGACATTAATAAATTCTTTTAAAACCTGGTAATTATCTGGGTTATTCAAGAGAAGCCCCATCCTTTTATGAAGGTAATATGGGGCTAAGAGAAGAAACCTGCTGGGTATCTTTTTAAACATGTACAGCTAAGTTGTATAGCTGTCTTGTGTCACCACTTCCCTCGGCATCTCTAAATAGAGCCAAATATGGAACCAGAACCTGGGGCAGCAGAGCGATGAAAATGGCAGCAAGGCCACAGCCAGCACATTCGCACATGAAGGTTTTACGAGGGCCCTTAGAAACACTGAGCAGAGGGCTCTGGTCCAGAAAATACATACATTCAGAAGGAGAAATGTGTTAAAAATAAATTTGTAATAGACACTTTAGTAAATATAAGAGACATACTAACCCCAGTGTGTTAGGATAAAAGACATGTAAGAAATTTTACAAGAAAGCTCATCTGATGTCCCCTTTTCTTCCCAGTTTTCTCGATTTCTCCTTTTTAGGAAGGGAGCGGGTGCCATGGACTGCAGCTCTCCACGAGGTGAGGCAGCTGATGCTTCACCCTGTTTCTGCCATCCTATGGCACAGCACATCTTGGAAGCAAGCTGTGGAAAGCCAGCCCACCAGCGGCCAGCCAGGACCCTTAACACTTTGATGGGCTCCTGCACTCACCCAGCATGAGCCTGCAGCAGACAAAAGCCCACTTTAAAGCATATACCTGGAGAGTAAAAAGACTTCTTCTTTTGTAATTATTGGGGTAAGAAATGACAAAAGCCTTTCGAGAGATTAAATCCACAGCACAAAGATGGCTATCCTGTTTCTAAGGCTGATCAGAGATAAGGGCTGCAGAGCCTCCACCCTTGTGTCAAGCAAATCCCCTGGGCTGTAAACTAAATCTGCTTCTGTTTGCTCTGCTCTGTGAAGGTGGGAGTGGTCCCTGTCAGATTGTCAGACCTGGAAGGAACTCAAGCCAAGCCTCATCCTTCCTCTGAGGTTCGGAGGAGCCAGAGGGTTTCTGGAGGACTCTGCAGTGGAAGGTAGGGAGAGGGTACATCATTAAAGACCATGTCTCCCAAGTTCCAGAACCGCACGCTGTCTGGTTACATTAGATCTTCTGAGGTATTTTGATAAGACTTAAGACGCTAATTTCAAGTATACCAAGTTTAAAAGCTGAATGTACTGAAACAAAGACCCCCACCATCGCTTAGTATCTGCTAATTTCCTTAGAAAACTCTCAAATGAACAGATGAATTATGATGCCTCTATACAATGAAATGCCTTGCTATGAAATACCATGCCGTAAAATGGCTTAGCACTCTATTTAACCATGAGTAAGTATTCCTTATCTATTAAGTGGAAAAAAGCAATTGCAGAATAAACCCATTTCTTTAAGTGGCAACTCTAAGGACATCTTAGCAAATGCATAAAAAGATTAGGAAAAATATACGCCAACCCCTTGATTGCCTTTACCCTGAAGGGGTGAAATTGGAGGACCCTCAGTTCTAACTCGCACACTGTTATGATGTAAAACATGCCTAGTAACATGATCATAGACAAGGTAAACAAAACAAGGTAAATAAAGTCTTAGAAAATTTCCAGGCCAGGCACGGTAGCTCATGCCTGTAATCTCAGCACTTTGGGAGGCCAAGGCGAATGGATCACCTGAGGTTGGGAGTTTGAGACCAGCCAACATGGTGAAACCCAGTCGCTACTAAAAATACAAAAAATTAGCCAGGCATGGCGACAGGTGTCTATAATCCCAGCTACTTAGGAGGCTGAAGAAGGAGAAGTGCTTGAACCCAGGAGGCAGAAGTTGCAGTGACCTGAGAATGCGCCATTGCACTCCAGCCTGGGCAACAAGAGCGAACCTCTGTCTCAAAAAATAAGAGGAAAAAAAGAGAAAATGAACAAAACAGAGTTCTTCCTTCTTGTGCTTCCTTCCTTGTAGGAACTACAGAGTAGAACTCTCCTTTTTTAAAAAGTTGTCAAATAATCCCTCTGTCTTCCTTTTCCCAAACTCAAGAATCTCCATTCCCTTGGGTGGGTCAGCTGGGATGGTAGAAGCAGTGATATTTATTTTCATACTGTTTCCTAGAAGAATAAAAATGCTCTCCTCTCATCATGAAGGCAGTTTCTTTTGGCATCCAAACCCCTGAATTTTAGAATCCTAAAAAGCGTGAGAGAAACTCTCACCTGTTTAAGGCATAAGGGTTTAGATATGGTCCTGGTGCACCGAGCTTCACAAGACAAAGGCAGACATCACCTCAAAGGTACGCACAGAAGCACGTGTCAAATATGCTAGGAAAATCCAGCAGTGGGTCAATTTGTGCATAAGCAAATGAATACAACTCCTAGGATCATACAAGTCATACATTTTAAAGACTGATGGGAAGTTTTCCTTTTTTTTTCTTTTTGAGGCAGTCTTGCTCTGTCACCGGGCTGAAGTGAGGTGGCGCAGTCTTGACTCACTGCAACCTCCACCTCCGCGGGTCAAGCAATTCCCCTGCCTCAGCCTCTGGAGTAGCTGGGACTACAAGCACCTGCCACCACACCCAGCTAATTTTTTGTATTTTAGTAGAGACGAGGTTTCACCATGTTGGTCAGGATGGTCTCGATCTCCTGACCGCGTGATTCACCCGCCTTGGCCTCCCAAAGTGCTGGGATTACAGGCATGAGCCACCGTGCCTGGCCAGTTTTCCTTTTTTAAAAAGAAAGTCAGCTGGGCACAGTGGCTCACACTTGTAATCCCAGCACTTTGGGATGCTGAGACAGGCAGATCACCTGAGGTCCGGAGTTTGAGACCAGCCTGGCCAACATGGCAAAACTCTGTTTCTACCAAAAAATACCAAAAAATTAGCTGGGAGTGGTGGTGCACATCCGTAATCCCAGCTACTTGGGAGGCTAAGGCAGGAGAATCACTTGAACCCAGAAGGCAGAGGTTGCAGTGAGCCAATATCATATCACTGCACTCCGGCCTGAGTGACAGTGTGAGACCTAGGAAATAAAAGAACAGAAGAGAAAAGACAAGAAAAGCAAAGAGGGAAAAAAAAGTGAAGGAAGGATTCTCTGAAGAGGCAGGACCGGGAGATGCAGCCTGGGTAAACCAAGCCAGATAGCCAGGAGCTGCAAGGTGGGGTAGTCCACACCGGAGCCTTCCCATCAGCACACACACACTCTCTCCTTAACCCCCACAGCAGTGACCACCCAGAAACGGCCGCGGGTGTGCCAAGACCTCAAACCCCTCCTGCCCTAGGATAGCAGGGACCACCAGAGTTCCCAGGGCCATCTGTCTTCCACCCAGAGCACCCTTTTTCATTGACCTTAATGTGGTCTCCACTGATTATAATTTACTCACATTTTATGGCCTGAAAGCATGCTTCTGAAACACGGAGAGTTTCTGGGTATGGCCTCACAAAGCAGTAGGGGTGCTGGACATGCTGCGTAGATGGTCAGAAGTCCCCTCAGACGCTCTCATGCCTTCTCATTAAAATCCCCATTCCTACACTTTGGGAGGTCAAGGTAAGCCGATCACCTGAGGCCAGGAGTTTGAGACCAGCCTGGCCAACATGGCGAAACCGTCTCTACTAAAAATACAAAACTTAGCCTGGCATGGTGGCGGGCACCTGTGATGCCAGCTACTTGGAAGGCTGAGACAGGATAATTGCTTGAACCCAGGAGGCAGAGGTTACAGTGAGCTGAGATTGCGCCACTGCACTCTAGGCTGGGCAACAGTGTGAGACTCTGTCTCCAAAAAAAAAAAAAAAAAAAAAAAAGTCTCCATTCTATAATATTCTCTGTAATAGGCTGCCACACTCTCACACTAGCAAGCTCTGAAACATATTAAACTCAGGTCACTTATGAACCACTTTGTGTCTTGCCAGCCTCAAATTCAGAGATTCTTCATTAAGAGCCTCAGGGGTACCTCTAAATGCGAAATGCAATTGCATTTCCTTTATTTCTTGCTTTATAATCATTTCCATTTCTATGATTTAGTCAGCATACTTGCTGTCGTAGCACTCAGAAAGGCAATTATATGTGCAAACTATGCATTATGGACAGATCTATTTGGAGACTGCCTGACTTAAGGCCATGTGGTAAATACAGAGCTTGAGTTATGACTATCTGGTCAAACCACAGAAAGCGTTATTTTGTGATGCATACAGTTAAGCCCATAAAGCGCCTTGTGTTTTCTGGGGTGGAGGGTGAGGGGTGGAGAAATTCAGTTATCAGGAGGACTGGAGAGTAAAGGCATACAGATGGGGTGGGAGGAGAAGCTCCGACAGCATGTAGATGTCCAATCATACCATGTTTAAAAAAAAGTGATACTCAAAGAAAGAAAAACACAGCTTGACACTGAAAAGCTTTCATTTATAATATGCTGAGCCATGTTTATATCTTAGGAGAAGGTTCATGCAGTGCAGCAACAAAGCAAAATTTTTTTTTTAATGCACCAAAAGGTCATTGAGTAGCTCCAGACACCAAGCTGAGAGCCTATAATACAAAATAAAGAGTGATGGAATTTGCACCCTGAGATTTCGAACTGATCAGCTTAAGAAACCAAGAACTCAGGAGGAACATCCTATCCCTAATCTACTTTCTTGTTAGTCCCCTGCATCACTTCCCTAACGACCCTCAAACCACCCCGCACAGAATGGAAAGGGTCTAATAGATGACGGATGGTAGACACCAGGCACAGTGACAGTCGCCAAGGAACCACTGACGGACCTGGACCTGCAGCAATCGCAAAGGACTCAAGAGACCCAGGCTTAGTGGCCACGGAAGAAAAGCAGACCATTTGCCCAGCTTCTGACAAAGAACCAGGCTGCTCACAACTTTATGCTCCCTCTTCAAGTTTAAGGCAGAGGTTTTCAACATACTGGTATCACATGAGGAGCTTTAGAAATTCCTAGTGCCTGGCACCCACCGCCAGAGTTTCTGGTGTGACTCTGGTGTGAAAGGTCGCAAGCCAAGGTATGTGGAGCAGCCTGAATGCTGGTTTTTTTTTTGAGACAGAGTCTGGGTCTGTCACCCAGGCTAGAGTGCAGCAGTGTGGTTCAAGTGATTTTCCTGCCTCAGCCTTCTGAATAGCTGGGACTACAGGCGTGTGCCACCACGCCAGGCTAATTTTTGCATTTTTAGTAGAGACGGAGTTTCATCATGTTGGGCACGATGGTCTCCATCACCTGACCTCGTGATCCGCCTGCCTCGGCCTCCCAAAGTGCTGGGATTATAGGCGTGAGCCACCACGCCTGGCCCCATGCTGGGATTTTTAAAAAACCCCTCAGATGATTTCTGTGTGCAGTTAAGGCTGAGAATCACTGCCTACCACCTTGCAAGGAATAAGTAAACAACCAAACATTCTGTTACACAGTGACGATTAGGACTGTGCTTCTCAACATTTGATGTGCACAGGAAGCACCTAGTGACCTTGTCAGGACACAGATTGTGATTGGGGATGGGGCCCAGGCACCTGCGTTTCTAACAGTGATGTCTTGCTGCAAACAGAAGAGGTTCTAATCTCCAGAAAATTGGGCACCATCCATGAAAGAACCTCCTTAGAAATGCAAGTCACATGTAACATCATCATAAAGCTTAATCCCTGTTGTTTTAGATAAAGCTTAATCCCCATTCTTCTTGATGTTGAACAGAATTTCATTTCACTAGATAACTCAGGACACTGGACAGTGATATCCATGGAAAGCTTGTATGACAATGTGTCCCCTTTATTAAATGGTGTCAGTGTGTGCTGGGTTTTGGGGTTGGCGGAATGATTCTTGTGACTACTTTTGATGACTTGTCCAACTTTTGTTTTTAACCGGTGGGATGAACATTACTGTTTCCAGCAGTCCTTCCTTCCTCTAAGCGTCTCTTTTTGATTTACAGTTGGCAGAAAAGCAAGGTAACCGCAATTGTCAGGCCGTCAAGAGCCCGGTGGTTGAGAAGAACACAGGCTCTGGAGCCAGACTGCCTGGCTTCAAAGCCCAGCCCTGCCATGCACCTGCATGTGACCTTGACGTGTACCTGGACACTATGTAAGAGCTTGCACAGTATAACGACAAGCTAGAACAGCTTCTGGCAGTGAGTCCTCACACATAGGGCAATCTGAGGGACTCATCAGATGGTACATGATGCTTTTTTATATCCATCTTTGATCACTCTTTTTGTGATGTTTTCTTTGTAATATCTGTTTTGGATTCAAAGCTCCTCTTTATTGTCATACCTTTCCTTCTCCCCTTCTTCCTTTTTCAGCTGTGTTCCAGATAGAAGTTGTTCCAATCATAAGTATGGGGTTACTATACAGTTTCTCTCTCCCTAGCTGCGCCCAACTAGGCCAGTGTGATCTGCAGAAAACCAACATCACCAAAAGAAATTTTACAGAATTTTTTAAACCCT